AGATTCCGGACAATTTCAAATCGGCTCAAAATGGGCATATAGACCAAACAGGATACGCTGATCACGAATCCGAAGTCCGTTCCGCGGCACATATGAAACTTTTCCCGGAATTTCCGAATTCCGAATCTGCATGCGGATTCCGGACAATTTCAAATCAAAATCAATTTCAAAATCAAATACCTGAAATTTCAAATCGGCTCAAAATGGGCATATAGACCAAACAGGATACGCTGATCACGAATCCGAAGTCAGATTCGCAGATTCGGAATTCGGAAATTCCGGGAAAAGTTTCATATGTGCCGCGGAACGGACTTCGGATTCGTGATCAGCGTATCCTGTTTGGTCTATATGCCCATTTTGAGCCGATTTGAAATTGTCCGGAATCCGCATGCAGATTCGGGATTCGGAAATTCCGGGAAAAGTTTCATATGTGCCGCGGAACAGACTTCGGATTCGTGATCAGCGTATCCTGTTTGGTCTATATGCCCATTTTGAGCCGATTTGAAATTGTGCGGAATCTGCATGCAGATTCGGAATTCGGAAATTCCGGGAAAAGTTTCATATGTGCCGCGGAACGGACTTCGGATTCGTGATCAGCGTATCCTGTTTGGTCTATATGCCCATTTTGAGCCGATTTGAAATTGTCCGGAATCTGCAATCTGCATGCAGATTCGGAATTCGGAAATTCCGGGAAAAGTTTCATATGTGCCGCGGAACGGACTTCGGATTCGTGATCAGCGTATCCTGTTTGGTCTATATGCCCATTTTGAGCCGATTTGAAATTGTCCGGAATCTGCATGCAGATTCGGAATTCGGAAATTCCGGGAAAAGTTTCATATGTGCCGCGAAACGGACTTCGGGTTCGTGATCAGCGTATCCTGTTTGGTCTATATGCCCATTTTGAGCCGATTTGAAATTGTCCGGAATCCGCATGCAGATTCGGAATTCGGAAATTCCGGGAAAAGTTTCATATGTGCCGCGGAACGGACTTCGGATTCGTGATCAGCGTATCCTGTTTGGTCTATATGCCCATTTTGAGCCGATTTGAAATTGTCCGGAATCTGCATGCAGATTCGGAATTCGGAAATTCCGGGAAAAGTTTCATATGTGCCGCGGAACGGACTTCGGATTCGTGATCAGCGTATCCTGTTTGGTCTATATGCCCATTTTGAGCCGATTTGAAATTGTCCGGAATCCGCATGCAGATTCGGGATTCGGAAATTCCGGGAAAAGTTTCATATGTGCCGCGGAACGGACTTCGGATTCATGATCAGCGTATCCTGTTTGGTCTATATGCCCATTTTGAGCCGATTTGAAATTGTCCGGAATCTGCATGCAGATTCGGAATTCGGAAATTCCGGGAAAAGTTTCATATGTGCCGCGGAACGGACTTCGGATTCGTGATCAGCGTATCCTGTTTGGTCTATATGCCCATTTTGAGCCGATTTGAAATTGTCCGGAATCTGCATGCAGATTCGGAATTCGGAAATTCCGGGAAAAGTTTCATATGTGCCGCGGAACGGACTTCGGATTCGTGATCAGCGTATCCTGTTTGGTCTATATGCCCATTTTGAGCCGATTTGAAATTGTCCGGAATCTGCATGCAGATTCAGAATTCGGAAATTCCGGGAAAAGTTTCATATGTGCCGCGAAACAGACTTCGGATTCGTGATCAGCGTATCCTGTTTGGTCTATATGCCCATTTTGAGCCGATTTGAAATTGTCCGGAATCCGCATGCAGATTCGGAATTCGGAAATTCCGGGAAAAGTTTCATATGTGCCGCGGAACGGACTTCGGATTCGTGATCAGCGTATCCTGTTTGGTCTATATGCCCATTTTGAGCCGATTTGAAATTGTCCGGAATCTGCATGCAGATTCGGAATTCGGAAATTCCGGGAAAAGTTTCATATGTGCCGCGGAACGGACTTCGGATTCGTGATCAGCGTATCCTGTTTGGTCTATATGCCCATTTTGAGCCGATTTGAAATTGTCCGGAATCCGCATGCAGATTCGGGATTCGGAAATTCCGGGAAAAGTTTCATATGTGCCGCGGAACGGACTTCGGATTCGTGATCAGCGTATCCGGTCTATATGCCCATTTTGAGCCGATTTGAAATTGTCCGGAATCCGCATGCAGATTCGGAATTCGGAAATTCCGGGAAAAGTTTCATATGTGCCGCGGAACGGACTTCGGATTCGTGATCAGCGTATCCTGTTTGGTCTATATGCCCATTTTGAGCCGATTTGAAATTGTCCGGGATCTGCATGCAGATTCGGAATTCGGAAATTCCGGGAAAAGTTTCATATGTGCCGCGGAACGGACTTCGGATTCGTGATCAGCGTATCCTGTTTGGTCTATATGCCCATTTTGAGCCGATTTGAAATTGTCCGGAATCTGCATGCAGATTCGGAATTCGGAAATTCCGGGAAAAGTTTCATATGTGCCGCGGAACGGACTTCGGATTCGTGATCAGCGTATCCTGTTTGGTCTATATGCCCATTTTGAGCCGATTTGAAATTGTCCGGAATCTGCATGTACGAGATTGATATCAATCTGCATGCAATTATACGAACGTTAATGAGTAGGTACTCTGACCATGTTCTGCAGCAATAAATACATTGGCATTGGAACGATACCTACCCTTGTTAAGTTGAATTACGTTGACAGCGAAAGTAAGTGAAAACGCCGTCACTTAATTTTGCTCACTTCTGCTGTTGCTGTTAGTGAACACACAATCCGAAAATATCTTCTATGGATTTGGTTCTTCCGCTCAGAATATTCAGTAAAACTTTGTCTGGGAAAATCAAAAAGCCCTAGGGCCGAATCGTTTCCCAAATACCTTCAACATTAGCCGAGGCGGGCCGAAGCCCTTTCCCAAATGCACGTGCTAATGTTAAAGGGATATCTCGGCATGTGGTAAAAGTTATACTTTTAACTGCAATATGAGGGCTCCCCGAACACTAACTATGCATAACCTAAGTCCCACGGGCACTATGGATGTTCTGCAGTACTGGATCTTGATGCAGGCACGCCTTGAGTTTCAGTCTAGCATCACTTCCGAGAATCGCACTACATCGAACTTACAAATTTTCGAACCGAATCTGACTGAGTCGTGCCGGTATAGCTGACGGAGGATTTCAAACACCTCAGTTGCATGCATACTTTGATCCGCTCTGAGGAGATATATGAAACGGTATGCGTTTTATTTAACCTGCCTTTTAACGGTGTCTTTTTAATGTAAAATGGTTTTACTGTATGCCTGGCCTATTCAAATACATTAGCCAGAGGGGTGTGGTAATAACTGGTGTAAGCAAATTGACCACGGTCAAAAATGCATTACTGTATGCCTGGCCTATTCAAATACATTAGCCAGAGGGGTGTGGTAATAACTGGTGTAAGCAAATTGACCACGGTCAAAAATGTATTACCAGAATGCACTTAAGCCAACATTTTGGGATGGTCTCGTTCCTAAGTCGGCTAAGAGCTTCAGTCCAGAAAATAAATTTTTCGTTGGCATACAGTAAAATACATACCAAACTCGGCCGGTGATAAATTTTCAAGACCTCAGTCCTTACTGATTTTTGAACTCGGCCTTCGGCCTCGTTCAAAAATCCAGTAAGGACCTCGGTCTTGAAAATTTATTTACACCGGCCTCGTTCAGTATTATATATTACCAGAATGCACTAAAGCCAACATTTTGGGATGGTCTCGTTCCTAAGTCGGCTAAGAGCTTCGGTCCAGAAAATAAATTTATCGTTGGCATACAGTAAAATACATACCAAACTCGGCCGGTGATAAATTTTCAAGACCTCAGTCCTTACTGATTTTTGAACTCGGCCTTCGGCCTCGTTCAAAAATCCAGTAAGGACCTCGGTCTTGAAAATTTATTTACACCGGCCTCGTTCAGTATTATATATCACTGATCAGCCTCGCGCCCCGTTGCCATTAGCGATCGGTCCCACTTCAGTATGCATTGTGCACATCGCTAATGTAATTCTAATGATCCCAGGCACTAAAAACGTTCCTGATTGTTTGGCTTTCATTAAGTGATTAGGCACCAATGCCACTTATGAGTTATGCTAATGATCTGTCAGCGACCAGCCGCTATAGTGCAGCGATTGGAACTTCCGTGACCGTGTGTCTATGCTAAAAACGCCAGAGATGGAAAGACTTCCAGATGACATGAATTGTGAACTCTCTCATGCTCGTATAACCTCATTGTTAGCGGAAACGAACTTACGAACTTACCACTGCACTCGAGTGAGAACATCAATCTCTAGATTGGCTCCAATTTGTTGCAGCGTTCGCGCAGTGCGGCGGCAAATTTGCATTTTTAAGTATTCAGCCTTCCACGATCCATCATTTCCACTGACTGGCTGCCGGTGGCCTGACTTCTATCAAACTGCTCCCAGGAGGTTCGACTTCTCCTTCCCTACCCTGCCTTCCCTCCCTTCCCCAAGTCATCTCGTCCCCGGCAGTGTCTCACGCCCGGGGACTTCCCTTCCGTGTCAGGGGGGCCAAAGTTTTCGTCTAAACGGGGTCCGCTTATGCACGCAAGGGCAACTTTGTGATCGACCGGCATGTTTTCTGAGCCAAGCGTCTGTGACGAAATTGGGTGTCCAACTCGACTAGATTGGCTGTCAAGTTTGCAGCGCATCCGGCTATTCAGGAATCAACAATGTGTATCGTATTTGATTGCAAGCTTCAGAAAATAGAGGGCTGAATTCAAGGTAGAGTGGAGCCAGCAGACAATGGGTCGAACTATGGCACATAGCTGGAGTCAACATTTTTTTTTTTTTTTTACTAGAAGAGAGCGGTTATTGAAGACGGTAACAACCACAAAAAGGGTGGTTTTTGTTGATCAAGATGTCATATTAAGCTGGGGTTTCTGTGAGATTCTAATGCATTACCCTATCAACAAACACATAAAGCAATACACATTGCGCGCCTCTCTAAACACCATTCCGCGTTTCTTACTGTCTTTGCTGTTTGTTTCAGACCCGGGCCCGGCCGTGCAGGTGGAGCTGGTGCCTCCAGACGCACAGAAAGCGGTCGCCAACGGTGTGGTACCCCCAGCCAACGGTCACGTCCCCAACGGACTGGTAGCCTCAGGTCGACCTCCGCCGCAGCCGGGCCCTCACGGCGCCGGTCCGAGGGTCTACCAGGACACTCGGGTCCAGCTGACAGGGACCTTCCAGCCGGCTACATCCCCCAGCGCTGGCTTCTTCAACCGGCCTGCAGCTCAGAACGGCGGCGCCCAGCCGGCAGCTGGAGGGGAGGTGTCCAGAGCGACTGCCGGTCCTCCGCCGCATGTTCAGCAGCAGGGCGCCTACCAGCAGCGAGAGGCGCCAAGGCAGACGGTCAGCTGGGGGCCTCCTGACCCTGCTGGAGGCTGGCCTGCCTCTGACGCGACGCGGCCGACCTCAGGTCACGCTGGAGGTCCACCAGCGGCGTCTCTGCGGCACCCTTACCAGCCTAGCCCGAGCAAACAACCCGTCCCTCCAAGCTCAGCGGCGGCGACGAACGGGGCTCAGCAGGGCGCGGCAGTCACCTCCCGACCAGACGGGAGTGGTCCTGGCACTGGAACTAATCGTGCGACCCTGCAGTGGGGAGCTCAGGTGCCCCCGCCGGCCTACTCACTGCCCCGTCAGCAGCAGCAGCAGCGGCCGGCCGAGCAGGCGCCGCCTTCCACTGCGGCCACTCTGCCCGCGGGGACGGGTCACGACCGGTCACGACCTGGCGAGCCGCCGACAGCAGCGGGGGTCACGGTGAGTACCGAATGCACATCGACACATCCTGGTATCGAACAACCCCAGAGTTATGCAGCGCCGCTCGCCGAGCCTCTGAGCCGCCAAAGCGCCGGCTGTGAACCGCTCGTTATCTGTCGTGACTCTCGGTATTTGCGTGATCAAATGTCCGCCCGACTGCCTGATCGTCGGCATTATTCAAAATCCGCTGGCAAAAACTGCGTCATATTTCAGCGGGTCCTCCGTCAGGGCGGTTAGCGGTGGACTGTTTTTACCGAGTTAGGATTCCGCCTCCAAGAGGAGGCTCTTCGACTCGAAGTGGCGGCGCGGAGGTAGGGCTTCGTTCGCGTTGTGCTCGAGTAAGACGATCCTCCCCAGGGAGAGAGATTAGAGAGGGCAGCAAGAGGCTCAGGTAACTCCGGAAATGCCTGTTGGAGCTCCGGGCGGGGAGTGGGAGGGGCAGGGAGAAGGAGAGAGGGGCAGGGGGAGGAGGGATGGAGCAGAGAGGAGGAATAGACAGCCGTGACGGGCGCCCGGGGCAGCCGAGAGAAATCTCAAGACATATCGACCACTCATCCCAGTCGGACCCGGGCTGCATCGCGTGGTGAAGCGCGTGCTCCGTGGCATGGCAATATCCCATCACGACTGCCGGCCCCACCGAGTATTACACACCGCCCACCGTTCCGTCCATCCCGGCCACAAATCGGAGCCGGCGTCTCGCTGAGTGATTCTAACCCACGCTGTGCGGCCACCGTGAAAAATCACCGACCGCCGCCACTCCAGCCGTTCCACCACCGTGACCGCCCAGTGGAGGCTCTCATACCTACAAACCAGCCACGGCTGTGCTTTGAACGCTACGTGCCGGCCAGATGACTAGACGGAAGGCGTGTGCCGTGCCTGAAGGGCCTCCCGCCGTCCCGCACGTGCCGCCCGCGCCACGAGCCAACACGTGCGCGCTGCCACGGGCACGTGCTTCGTGGGCGTGCCGAGGCGCCGACGTGACTCGCCCAGTCAAGACGTTTTTGTGCGCCACTGAACCGAGGCTGGTGGGGCCGGTCAGACTCGGTTGAGGTCAGTCGTGTGCGCCCGGACGGCTTTCTCGTGCCGCGAGACGTGGTGGCCTCTGGTCGAGAGACAGAAGCCTAGCCAGAAGCGTCGGTAACTCGTTAGCGCAAGCGAGCTGACTTCTGTCAGAATTCCTGGCGACAAGCCGGCTCGACCTTAATCACCAATGAAAGCATCTTGAGTGAGCTCGGTCAGACTGCCAGGGAAAATGGGTTCGGTCAAACCAACAGGTCGCATGTGTACGGGAGTAAGTAAGTAAGTACGTTAGACCTCCAGGGAGCACGTGTTCTAATTCTGATCACCTAAGAGCACGTGGTTTGGTAGCAGGTTGGTTCGATCGGGTCTCCAGAGAAATACGGACCCGGAAGGAGCACTCGGGTCCTCTCTGGACCTCTCCCAGTCCTCTCCTGGTCCTCTTCCAAACCTCTCCCAGTCATCTCCGAGTCCTCTCCGGATCTCTCCGGAGTTTCGCCCGACCCGGAGTGGAGGGGCGGCGCTCGGCGGCGCGGAACTGAGCTGCACCCCGTATTGACTGGACGCCCGGTCGGCTGGCCCGCCGCCACCCTCCCACCCAATTGGCCGTCCCAGCGTCGTTTGCGACACGCTCGACTGCGCCTTCTCCGCTCGAGAGACGCGCGAGAGACCCTCGGCGGCTCCACGCACACGCGTCCGACGGCCCGCGAGGTATTTACGCGGATATGTGCGCTGATGCGTGCGATGCACGCCACGGGGTCGCACCGCCGCGCTGGGAGGTGTTTTGGCATGCCGGAATGGCGGATGCTATGGATACTCCTTGAGCTATTTTATTCTGATGCCTCTACAACGCATAGGCAATTGTATGTATGTATGTATGTATGTATTTACGATCATGGGCGATCCACACATGGCGTGGCGATTACTGCCCAATTCTCGTATGCATCACCCGTCATGAAATTCACTTATCTAGATCACCTTCGTTAGCGGTGCGTTGATATCTCCGTTGATATCTCAGTTTGGAATCTGCGTCCCAAATCTGTGCCCCCGATCACCAGCCTGTCCTCACAGGCCGTGGCGCCGATCGGGGGATGGACTCGGCTCGGCCGGTCGGGTTTTTGTCAGCAGGGGCGGACGTCGGGTGGTACGATTAATGACCCCGGAGGACGGCTGATGATAGTGGTGATGGTAGCGGCAGGATGGCGATGAAGGGGTGGTGTGTGGGGAGAACAGGGGACTCAGGGGTGGGGTAGGAGTTCTGGCCACGCACAATGGTGTCAGCGGTTTTCACATATGTAAGTTGAGCTCACAAAAGTTTGCCTGGCTACAGTATGCAGATGCCGAGATTGGGCAGACCCGTAGTTTCAGGTTGGCGTGATGCGTTCGTAGTAATTATATGTGCTCTCCCTGACTGGCAGAGTAGTTAGAAGATGACAGCAGAATAACCCGCACGGTTATGTAGTCTGGCTGGCCCAGATACCTCGTGCAGACCTGCTCCTGGCATAGAGACGAACCCACCTCCAATATAGAGGATGAATAGATGCCCCATTTCGGTCCGGCCCC